TATTCAATTAATGTTGGCTTTCTGTATCTCCAAGAACAAGAAAAATGGATAGTATCTTCAGGGAGATCAGGCTACCTAGTGGGTAACTCAGAGCCTGGTCTTCTGGCTGCTAAGACCATGCTGTCCTAGGCTCTTTCAATAATAAATCTGAGCAAGTCTGTCTGAGAGTTTGCAAAGAACCAGTATCTCATATAATTTGGGTAATAACCCTGTCAAATAAACTGGGGCAGATATAATCTTCTCTAATATACAGGTATTATGGTTTAAATATGAATTTTCCTCAAGAGGTTCATGTATTAAGCACCAATGTCTCCATCTGGTGGGACCAAGCTTGAAAAAGTAGGTTGCTAGGGGTGAGTTTGAAAGGGTTTCTTGTTCCTGGCCCCTTCTGTCATGCACACTTTACTATCTCCCATGAGGTGAACAGGCTTCTCCACAAGCTTCTGCTGCCATGATGTCCAACTCAGGAGGCCACAATAAACACGGACTGAAATTTCTGAAACCAAGAACCAAAATAAATCCTTCTTCTACTAGGCTGTTTCTGTCAGGTACATTTGTCACAGTGATGAGGAAAGTAACTGATTCAACAGGCCAGTGGCATCCAAAGGGTAAAATATTTGTTCAAAGCTGGATTTGATACCCGGTGATACTTATAAGGCATAAACACTAAAACATTATTATATGCTATCACAGTATGTTACCTTTAGAGAACTACTATCTATAAATAAGTATAGCTGACACACCAGGTTTATATTCTAGGGATAGTAAATGCTAGCATCTGGTTTCCCTCCCCTTGCCCACTGCAATCATCAGTATATTGTTTCCTGATGGCCTGAACCCAGCCTCCAGACATCTGAATATACTGCTACACAGAGTCCCTATTGATGATAAGCAATATGAACAGGCAAGATAAAATCTGTATTCCTGTTTTGACTTTCCTCATAATACTTGTTTCCACATTTTCTTTGCTTTTTGATTTGATATATGTTAATGGCTCTTACATATTTTTATATTTGTATATACTGTCTTTTCCAAGTATGGAGCTCTTGACATATTTACTTGAGAACATCAACTACATTTGTTAATGTAAAACAGGTAAAGTGTTTCAAATATACCTAAGACAAATATACAGTATTTAAGGGAAAAGCTAGCTTAAAAAAATACAAAGAAACAAGAAATTGTACTTATTTCTGGATATAGTTCAGATTCAGAATCAGTAAACTTTTTCTGTAAAGAGCCAGATAGTAAATAATACCCACAGACCATGCACAAACAAATGAGACTGTCTTGGTTCTAATTAACCTAGCTATAAACTGTCGGGAGCCATGCTTGCCATAAGCATTGGAAAGTAGGAGAGTGTCACTTTAAGAGCTTCTGAGCTCTCTGCTTCAGCGGTCAGAGCTGACAGGCTGTACCTGGATGTTAAATCAGGTCTTCTAGAAAGTTAGTTTCAGTTCGGCCTTTGTGCTGTCTCTATAGTAACCCTTTTGTCTATAGTAACCATTTTGTTTCTGTTGGGAAGATTCACCTAGGTAACCCAAACTCCGGGCCGGATAAAAAGGACCTGTGGGACCCCTCAGTAGATTCTTCCTTCTAAAGAGCGCTCTCCTCTCTGTACCTGCTGTCCCTTTAATAAATTCCTTGCATAACTTCAGACGTATGCCTGAGTGTCCTTTTTGTTGAAGACCCAAGCCTAGTGGGCTTGGGGGGCGTTCGACAATAAACACCAAAATCAGATTTTCATGTCATTTTCACATCACTAAATATGATCCATCCTTTGATTTTTTTTCCCTCCAACAATTAAAAATGATAAAAACTGTTCCTAGTTTGCAAGCTGAATTTGGTCCCTAGGCTGTAGTTTACCCTCAACGTCCCAGATGTGGTGTTTTCAAAGTGGGAATTTCTGGGAGTCTACAACAAACCCAACTAATATATTACTACCTTACTTTGTCTACTTCCACGAAAACAAGATACTACAATAAATCAATGCAATAACAGTAAGAGAATCCAGCTGCCTTATAGACCAGAAATTGAGATTGCAAAAAATGAGAAACAATGCCACCTCTCTCAGTAATGTTTCCTTATGTTTGGGAAATACACAGATATTTTTATATCAAATGCTGTATACATCAGCATGCAATAGGTTTAGTGTTTTTTGTTCGTGGTGGGGTTTTTATTTGGGGGGGGTGGTTTTTTTTTGAGACAGGGTCTCCCTGTAGCCCTAGCTGGCCTGAACTTGCTACGGCGACCGGGTTAGTTTTGATCACATGGAGATCTGCTTGCCTCTCCATCTCCAGTCCTGGGATTAAAGGTGTGTGCCACTATGCCAGGCTAGCTAAGTGTTTTTGTTTTTTAAAAACAGATTAATTAAAAAAAAAATCACTTAGTTCCAATTTTCAATAGGATAAATACTGATAGACATCCACAGGAACTAAAACTCTGGGGCCCTCAGTAGTATATTTTCAGTAAGTTAAAGGAACATGGGATCTAAAAGTTTAAGAACCAGCTGCTGAACTGGGTGAACTATTACTGCCAGTAGGGTGTACATAATCCTGCCCACCATATCCAACCACCTTCACCCTCCACCTTAACCTAATTCCATCCAAGAACTGCCTAGTTTTTCTTTGAAACGTGATTTGATAAAATTAAATCCCATGCAATCGTGTCTCGCATAATGAATATAGTGAAAATATGGTTGTTTTCTTGAAAGAATAACCCTTCACCTATACACAGAACATAAAAACACTTAGTTTTTTCTTTTAAGACAGAGTCTCGCCATACAGCCCTGGCTGGCCTGGAACTCACTATGTAGACCAGGCTGGCCTTGAACTTGCAGCAATCCTCTTGCCTCTGCCTCCCGAGTGCTGGGATTACAGGCACACACCACCATGCCCGGCTCTCACTTCAGCTTTTACTTCATGAAAATAGGCAACTAGAGGCAAGGATCTCCCCCCTCGCTTCTATTTTCCAATCTTTAAAAAACAAAAGATTATTATTACAATTCCTTGTCTCCAGAAAATATTGCAAAACAGATTCATTACTACATTTAGTCACATTACTACATTTAGTATACCTCTGACCTGGATCCACAAGCAGTGTGGGAACCCGATCCTAATCAGGACCCTCATGGCAAGGTTAAATCTAAGAAAAGAAAATCCACCAGACATGGTGCAAGTTTAACTGACAGTACTCATAATGATAAGAATTCCACTTTGCAAGTAATATACACATCTCATAAAGCATTTTAAGTGACTATTAATATTTTGCTTGTTCTGCCATTTGAGATTTAAAAACTAAGGGGGGGGAGTTAAAGGGAAAGTTCTTTTAATTCCAGTGTTATGATACATGGGGAAACTTTACATAGGAAGCATTCCTTTCAACATAAATTTACTTTGTCATTAGATTTAATTCAAATGACGTGTATTGCTGGGCCTGGGGAAACATCTCTACACCTTCCTCTTTTCTTCTTTGTTGTCTTCTTCCTCCCCTTCCTCCCTATTTGTCTTCCATTTTAGAAAAAAACTAACTATAATACCAACATGCATTTTGTTGCGTTATGTGCCCTTAAAAATTTTAAGACCATCTTTATAATTTCATTTATTGGACAATAATAATGAGGGAAAAATTGTATTTTTGTATATTTATCCTTTAATTTGTATTATAAAATACCTTTAAAGTTAACATTATGACTGGCTGTTAGGTCTCCCATAATCTGTGAGAACTGGATCCAAGTATACTGAAGTAAAAATATTTGGCTATTGTGACTATTATTCAATTGAAATTCCCTAGCAAGTTAGATGAGTTACTATGTGTTCTGGGGGTTATTCCTTATTTAGGGGAAATCATACAAATTACTTGAGAAAGGTGCTGGTAGTGGTGATGTTTCAATGAAGAACAAAAAACAGGCCTAAAATATGGGGAAAATGCTTACTGTTTAAATCTACAGTAAAAACATTAGTCTCATCACTATTGCAAAACATACAAAATTGTGAAACTGAAGTTATTTGTAAAACAGACAAAAGCAAAGCGGCTTCCTCAGTCATTTTTTGAGACCTCAGCATCAATTTAAAGAAAATGCTTGTATTTAAAAGAAGGCCTATTTTAAAAATATGACTCTCTACACTAAGTACATATAAGGACATGAAGTGAATTGATGCCACACTTACCATCCTGGCTCCCTTGGTATGCAAATGAATGTGATGGAAAACTAATGTTAAAAAGGCAAAAAGTTACTTGCCTCCCTCTTCAGTTCTTTAAGGAATAAAAGTGGGGAGGGGAACTGCACAACTAAATAAATGCCAAAATAAAAAAAAATCGATTTATACAATATTGTTCTGTGGATCACATGGAAAAGCAGAAAAAGCCAGTACTTTAGTTCTTTACTGTGCAAAGAAGAATAATTTCTAGCATATTCCATCTAAAAGAAACTTCTGTACAATAAATTATTTTCCTTGCTCTCATTTCCAAGTCAGACTTATGTCCATAAAAAAAAAAAAAAACACTAAATATAATAGTCTTCTAAGAAGGTAACCAATCTAAAAATCACATGGAATTGATAGCACTACAAGGACAAAGGGATTCTGCTGCATATTTGAAGAAAAGAATCTTTGAGGAGCAGAGCATCACTAGCATGAATCCAAAATAGCACAACTGGAATCAATGTATTTTAAGGCTTGGCACAGCAGTTTAAATTTTGAAAAGATCACCACTATTATGTGAATAAAATGGTATTCAGTTTCACTGTGTTCTCCCAATCCCCCCAGCAGTGAGACAATGCAGGGATTCTCTGAGCACTTTGTGGAAACTGCTGGCTTTTAGAAATGGATAGGCAGATTTGAACCAAAAATAGACAAAACACAGAACTGCAACAACAAGCAACTCAGGAAGAGGCTCAAGCCAAGCAGAAAAGCGAACTCTACAGAATTCATTTTTTCAGACTGGTCATTGGGTCAGTTCCCTAATTTCAAGAAGACAAACCGAAGCAAAGCACGCTAACTTACATTGCTTCTTCAGTTCTTTCAGCTGCTGCTTAAATTGCACAAACTTTTCATTGTCTTTAAAGTCTGCATCAGAATTCTTATCCTGTAAAGCCAAAAACTTCTTCTCTACCAGTAATTTTAAATCTGGTATTTTTTCTGGCCGTTCTTCTTTTACCTAAGGAAGACAACAAATCATCCTAGTTAAATGACAATAGTTTTTAATCTCATGTAATTTGAGATAATATGACAGAAAACAGGACCCCGCCCCCGGAGGACAAGACCACTGAGCAATGGTGTAGGGACTCCATCATCACGTCTGCTGCTTGTGGCCCACATAACCATTCAGTGCACCTATGCCTGCCGAAAACTGCAAATGAGGCAACTTCACCAACACCAGCACTCTTCCTTCACCCAGACCTGCTCAATCCCTCCTAACACTCAGCAGTGGCTACTCCATTTTTATTCTCAGTGCTCCTCTTCAGTCCTTGGCCCAGCTGGTGATGGTAACTCCCACTTAACAAAAGACAGTGAAGCTTTAACATTGACCTATCCACAATTTCCCACCATAACAAAGAGCAAGTGTCCTGCTTGCTCTGTTCAAAGCTAAACTCTTGTATACATTCTTCTCATTCCTAAATATTACATTTCTTTTAGGTAGGCTCCTCTGCCTGCCCCTCCCCCCACCCCAAATAAAAACACCTCGTTTATAATTGGTTCTTGTGCTGGATAGTTTTAGTGTGAACTTGACCTGGGTTCAGGGAGCCTCAATTGGGGAAATGCCTCCATTGGACTGGCCTGTGGCCATGTCTGTGGGCCATCTTCTCGATTACTGAGTGATGTGGGAGGGCCCAGCCCACTGTGGGTGGTGCTACCCCTAGGCGGTGGGCCTATGTAGTATGAGAAAGCAGGTTGAGCGGGGAGCCCAGAGGAGCAAGCCAGAAAGCAGTGTTCTTCCGCGGCCCGTGTTCCAGCTCCTGCCTCCAGATTCCTGCCCTGAGTTCCTACCTTGGGCTCCCTGATGAACTGTGTAACCTGGGAGATGTGAGATAAAATAAACTCTTTCCTCCCTAAGTTGGTATTGGTCAGAGTGTTTTGTCACAGCAATGGAAAAACAAACTAGAACAGTTCTTCACTCCCAGAATACACACACACACACACACACACACACACACACACACACACACACGTGACCTCTGAGGTTGGGTTCACTCTCAGGATTTGGCTTGGGAAAGCTGAGGAAAGCCATTTCTTCTTCTACAAACTTATATACATTTTGTTTGTTATCTTAAAAGTTTTCACTACCTGCAGCCCTAGGCTGCCATTCATCCCTCAGCAATATTTGACTACCAAAAATATTCAAGATCAAACAGTCCCATTCAAGCACCAAGATTTCTAGTGAGGAGAAAATAGTCAAGCAACTTGGCCCTCACTGTGTGGGCCTCTTGGAACAATTACTAAAGACAGAGATAAGGGCTGGCAAAGCAGTGACCCGGCTCTTGAAGAGTAACTTGTGAACTCATTGATGGCAAACCCAAGGAGCTGTTGCCAGAACTGAGCTAGTTCTTCATTCTCTCAGAACCCACAAAGGATGATCTTGTCTTCCATATTACGTGAAGAAATGAAAAATCAGACAGAACAGAAGGGCCTGTACATAGCATTGGGGATACCACCAGTAGCTCTGGTTTTTGTTCTGGTTCTAGGGGTAGAATCTGGTACATGCCAAGTACATGCTCTACCACTAGCTACTCTCCCAGTCCCTAGTAGAAAGAGATTTGGACCTTGGCCTATCAGTGATGCCCACATAATAGGATTTTGGAAACAGGAAACAGTCTTGACTCACAGCTATTTTCTATTTAAAATTTTTTAAATTTATTTTTGTATATGAGTGTTTTGCTTGCATGTATGTAAGTGCATCCATGTTGTGCAATGCCTGTAAAGGTCATAAGAGGACGCTGGATCCCTTGGAACTGGTGTTACTATGTTGTTAGCCACCAGGTGGGTGCTAGGAACAACCGAAACTGGGTCCTCCACAAGAACAGTCAGTGCCCTTGATCACTGAGCCATCTTGCCAGCCCCTTCTTTCTATCTCTATTCCACTGTTTTCTGTTTCTTGCCACATCTCTGTCTTCTCATGTTTAAAGGCAATTGATCCTTCTGCCTTTGCTTGCCATTCTGACTGATACCCATTAAACAGGCTTCTACCACAACCTTGGTCATAAGCCAACTGCTCTTATGTTTTTCTTTTTCTCCTAGTAAAATATAAACTATTTGAAAGATGTCTGACTTATTATATTGCCAGTACCTGGCACACAAGCAGGAATATTCTAAATGTTTCAAATTAACCTTATTAGGACGAAGCATACTAAACCCACTAAAGGCCCAATAACAACCAACTTGTTATTAATATTAGTGGAATACATAATTTCTGGGCTTACAGATCATCTAATCTCATTCTGTCTTCTCATATTTAAAAGTTCATAAAATGACATGTAAAGATGTTCAATAAGCAGGACATGGTGATGTACACCTTTAGTCCCAAGCACTTGGAAGGCAGAGGCAGGCAAATCTCTTGTGAGTTCAAGGTCAGCCTAGTCTACATAGTAAACTCCAGGCCAGTCAGGGCTACATAATGAGACTTTGTCTGAAAAAAAAAAAAAAAAAAAGCCCAATGACTTTATCTTCTACTATCCAATCCAATTAAAGAAAACTTCTAGTTTTGTTTCAAGTTTGTGAGATCTATTTCTAATCTTTTAGACCTATGAATGCATACAAAGTGTAAGGATTATTTCAATCACCTTTTGTCATGGAGAAATACATGTACATTATTTTCTTTGTAATTGCTACAAAGAAAGGGGTTTCAAGGTGACATTTTCATGCATACCACTGTATTTGCTCTCACCTACAGCCCCCTCTAACCCTCTTCCTCTCCTTTCTGATCCTTCTTCTCTCAAAAAGCTCCCCACCTCTTCTGCTTTCATGTTATATATACCCCTTACGCTCTCTTGTTCTCACCTTCCCCCTTCCTTTAGGTCTCTTCTTTTTCTCTCCTTGACCCTCTTTCTACCTTCATGTCATATACACAAACACAAATTTAAAACTACATTTCACATGCAGTTTTACATATAAGAGAAACTACAGAGATCTTTCTGAGTCTGGCTCATTTCATGTAACATGATGATCTCTAGTACAATCCATTTTCCTGTGAATGTCATGATTACCCCTCTCCCCTTTAAAAAACAGCTGAATACAGTTCTGTTGTGCATATGTGCCACATTTATCTACTCATCTGTTGGATGGCATCTAGGCTGGTGCCAAAGTTTACTGTGAATAGTGCAGCAATAAATAAATGTTCAAGGATCTCTGTGGCATGCTCCCTTGGATTCCTTGGAGTACATACCCAAAAGTATATAGCTGGATCAATGGTTGTTCTACGTTTAATGTTTTAAGGATGTCCACACCGATTTCCATATTGGCTACACCAGTTTACATTCCTGTGAATTGCCTCCATAAAGACGCCATCTCCAAATATAGTAACATTCTGAGGTAATTGGGTTAGGACCTCATAAGAATTTTGGAGAAACACAAACCAGGAATGATAGCTCATGCCTGTAATCACAGCACTCAAGAGGCTGTAGCAGGAGGATTCCACAAGTTGAGGCCAGCCTGGGCTACATGGTAAGTTCCAGGACAGCCTAGGCTATATTGTGAGATCCTGTTTCAAAACACCAAAAGCAAGAAACAAAAACCTAAACTAAAAAAGGAAATTGAAAGAAACACAATTTAGGGGCTGGAGAGATGGTTCAATGGTCAAGAGCACTGGCTGCTCTTACAGAGGTCCCAGGTTAGATTCCTAGCCCCCACATGGTAGCTAACAATCATCTGTAACTCCAGTTCCAGGGGCTCTGACACCCTCTTCTGACCTCTGCAGATACTCTATGACATGGATACACTTACACACATGCAGGCAATATACTAATACACCAGGGCCGGGTATGGTGGCGCACGCCTTTAATCCCAGCTATCAGGAGGCAGAGGCAGGCTGATCTCTGTGAGTTCAATGCCAACCTGGTCTACATAGTGAGTTCCAGGACAGCTGGGGCTATAGGGAGACCCTGTCTCAAAAATGACCAAACAACATACATATAGGCAATACACTCAAAAAAGATAAAAACAATAAATAAAATATTTTTAAAAAGAAACACAATTTAGCCCATGCACCGGGTTAATAAAAATCAGAATGTTAAAAACAGTATCACTTATTAATCTTTACACCATTATAATTTTTAAATGAGAGAAGCTATTGAGAAGTAAATAGTATTCCATACCTGAATAAAGAAAACTTAATACTGCCCTTGAGAGAAAAAAAATCAGGTTTTCTTCCACTATCCATTCATGCACCAATTTTCACTAAGGGTCCTTTAAGTGCAAAGTACTGTGGCCTAAGGACAGAACACCAGATAAGTCAGTTGGGAACAGATAGTAAACAGCTCTGGGAACCAGTCTGTGGGACCAGGCCTGATCTGACAAGCAGTGCACAAAGACTTAAAGGAGTAAAGTAACTGTACCTGAGAACTGTTAAAATACAAGATTGCTACTGTTGCCTGAGGATGCATTAGAGACACGGAGGAAGGGCAGTGCTACTGCTGTAAGTGAGCTAATGGCAGAGTGGTCAGGCTGTGATGCTTTTTTTGAACCAGAACCACCAAGTCTTGGGAAAGGAGCGTGCAGTTTGAATAAGGCCTCTGAGCTACAGCTATAAGGAACTAGTTACATTTCATTTTCTTAGGGAAAGCAGCAGGTATCATACACCAATGTCGAGATCATCTAGCAAGTAGCTAGAAAGACATTTATAATGAGGGTGTGGGCAGTAGCAGAAGAAAGAAGCCAAAGGAACTCTACAAAGGAAAAGAAAAAAGAAAAGGAAAGATAAAGGAGGGAGAAAAGGAGGAGGAGAGGGAGGGAAAGAAAGAGAGGGAAGAGGAAAAAAAATCAGGAATGCCATTGAAGGGAAAGTTTTTCTTAAGTCAAAGTTTGTCTTGGGAAAAGGGAAACAAGAACGCTCACATTAGAAAATCACTGAAGAAAGCACCGAGTCTAACTGCCAGTCTCTTAGCACATCACAGGGTAACTTATAACTGAACAACCTAACAATCCAGAACTTTCTCTCAGGAAGGG